ACTGGTCACCCCAGAATCGTCCCCAATTTTAGGTAGCTAAATTTCACGCGCTCCACATACGACACCAAGCAGTTCACACTTATGAGCTGGGCGACCAAGATCTTCAGCACTGCTCTCATGCAAAAATCCTCGGTGTGTTGGTTTAGGAAAACTTTGGTTATTCGGGGCCATCTGAAATAGCGTCAAATCGAGTATCCAAAACCTATGGTTCTTAAGGAGAACTTTTGTTCATTGCCACCCATCTATTTTCACCTGACTGTTTTCAGCATATATAAGCCCTCAGGTGGAATATGCGATTCAAGCGTGAAAGTCATGGCAAAAGAAAGATCTCAGGGTTTTGAAGATTCTACAATGTCGTGCCCCCAAAAATGTCCAAGGGCTATACCGTTGCAACTGAGTATTCTGGGAGTTTTCAGTGAATCCGATCGGAGTTTGTGTGGTAAGGTTAGCAGATTTTCAGCGACTCTAATCACTGGTGCTGTCATCATATCCATAACAACCGAATGAGATACCACCATCTCAAACTGGCAGAACAATACAGCTGACCAAACTGTAGAAAGAATTTCATCTACGTGCGTGTTCGCCGCACATGAAATTCCCTTCTAGAAACCGTTAGTTTAGCCCCTATATTAGTCTTGTGCTGGTCGCGCTACATCACAGTATAGAACACACACGAACCATTTGCACATTCAAAAAACAAAACCGCATCAACGCACACCGGTTTTTCTGGGAAAACCAAAGGCGACGAATATTCAAGTCGCATAAAACCACATATGAACAAGTCACCTTGACCGAATTTTGCTCGGTGAGTTCAATGTTTATAGTCGTTTTTCATAGGAAAAGCCGCACCGACCAATCTGCGGAATATGTTGAGCTTCGGCTTCTTTCACAGCAATATACCAGTGGTCAGTGTGCAATTGATGTAGGTTTGAGTGGCCATTACAGCATCATGCATGGCTGTTTTTCGTGTTCATGGCCATCCCAGTGGAACACATTTTAAAGGAATATCGGTACTTAGAAACACAATGTCAGCATATGCTGAGAAAATGCTGTGAATGCAATTTTCCTGTTGGTAAATTTCGTCCGCAGGCATTAAAAAACGATTCCCATACCGTTATAACGCAGTACTAAAGACGTAAGGCTACGTGCAAGCTTTACTTGGGTACCCGATTTGCGACTGAAATGTGTGTCTACCCGACGAACGGTTACGATCGTAAAATTGGTCACTTGGTGGCAACATGTCGGTCACTTGCACTGACTGGATGTACGATATGATTAACAGGTAACCACTTATCTATTAAGGCGGACGGCGATACCAATGTAGTATAATGTGTAACGTAATATCGAGGCATCTTACACAATTTATTTAACCGTTTTAACGAGTGATTGAAAACACGCCTAAATGGGACGACTTGTCGTCAGTGTCTCTATCAGACCGAGCGCTTAAGAACTAGCCAATGCTCTGTGGATGTAGTATGCAACGAGACGTCCCGCAGTGTTACACACTCACATCCATCGGCCCAATTGTTGAAGCTATTCACCTAACGTTTGCCACGGTAACTGTGTTTAGGAAACTGCTCTCTGTGCACACCTACAGTTCTCATGGAATCGATAACATTCACCCCAGAGCGCTGAACTTAGCAGCAACAACGCTGGCAGAACCATTAGCGCATTTCTTCCAAACCTGCTTGGATGAGCAAACTGTGCCTACCTTGTGGAAACATTGTTTAATCACACTAATTTTCAAAAGTAGCAGTCGCTCGGAGCCCGCAACATATCTCCCAGTGATTCTCCTCTCTATAGTCTAAAAGTTGATGAAGGTAATCATCGCTAACACTCCAGTGGACCAGCTAGAAATCCACAACACCATAGCACCTGAGCAGTACGGTTTCCGCCAACACCGTTCACGCACAATCAACCTACTTATTGCACGCAGTAGTGGGTCGGAAGCGGTCGACAAAGGCAGATGGACCGACATCATTTGCCACGACTTCTCCAAAGCCTTTCACCTCCTTGATCACCGCGTTCTGCTTCACCGGCTCGAACGCCTTGGATGTGGGGATTCAGTGCTCAGGTGGATTAGAAATTTCCTGCAGGATCCTGCAGGATCCGATTCATGTCGAATGTGGAACAATGGAACAATGGAACAATGGATTTATGCGGGTATAAAAGCTAAAGCTTAACAAATCCCGTAGGGTGATCAGTGCGAAAATCATAGAAGTGTGAAAAATTCAATGGAAACCAATTCAGTAAAATCGTTTAACAACGAGTCACTACAAGCTTGTGGACTCACCGAGTTTGAAGTGTCAAAATAATAATCCACTATAACTCCGGAGGGGATCATGAGGTATGGAGTATTTGGTTAAAAGAGTCACCGCCCCTTGAAATTCGCATGGGGCAAAGTGTTTGAGTTTGAAGCGTCAAAATATAAATCCACTGTTGAAATTTGCGTGGGGGAAAATTATTTTTAAAGTATGGATTTTGGATCTCTCAAAATTAGACTGTACTATGGGAGATAGTGCAATTAAGTGAGTGCACAATCAACTCGATTTTTGAACTCGATTAGGTTGGGTGCACTGACTACAGATTCTGGGATAGCATTCCAGTCTTGGTAAACACGCACGGAAAAGAAATTCCGTCAACATTCCAAACGGCTATACTGCACTGCCAGCTTCAGATGATGGCCCCTCAGATTGTTGTTGTTACGGAGCTCCAGCAGATGGCGGCAGGTATGATTGGGGTCCGTCAGAATCTGATAAGCCAAAATCAAATCTCCCCGTAGTCGTCGATATTGACCACTAAATATCCCGAGCAATCTCAGTCTGTCTTCGTAGCGTAACTGGCCTAAACCTTTCACGTTCTTCGTTGCGCGTCGTTGAAGTTTCTCTAAATCAGAGAGGTCTTTCCTCAGCCACGGCTGCCAGACTTGTATTGCATACTCCACGTGTGGTCGTATGTATGCACCTAGAAGTGGGTAAAAAACGGATGGATCGAAGCGTCCAAATGTGCACCGGATAAGGCCCAAATTTCGAATGCTCGCGTTCGATGCTTTCTTTGCCTGGGCTGAACAACCAAGGTCGGACTGAATCAAGACTCCTAAATCCTTTTCCTCAGCAGTTGTGTGAAGCACATGGTCACCCAGTTTAGAGAAAAATGCTGATTGGTGACGTAAGTGTAATACTCTGCACTTTTCTGTGTTGAGTGGGAGTTGGTTCTGAACTGACCACGCATACACCTTATCCACAAGGATCATGGCTGCGGCAGCGTCTGATCCTCGTGCTCATTAAAGAGCATACGCGGCTGATTTCCTCGGATTTCATGCCTTTTGTTGATGATGTTAAGATGCGGAGAGCGATCGCCGACCAAGGAGATCCCGAGGCACTTCAGCGGGACCGGACACAGCGTATGAATGGTCATTCCACAATCTGCTCCAGTTTAATTCAGCTGTGTGAGTGCTCTGTGCGCTAACTGGTGGTTCTACGTGCGCACGTGCATCCACCTCGCGACTGATTGGTTGTACGTTTGTCGATGGATAGTTAATGCTCATCTGACATCTGTCAGTGTTCCTCTTCTTACGGCTTTATTCAAAATACGCGTCACGTCTGTAAAGAGTCATTCAGCAGAATATACAGTTCGAAGTGCGTTGTGTCTTTGTTCTGGTTGCTGCCGCGGTTGGGCCTACTGCGCATATTGGGACACAACAGTAAGGTGGTCCCCATTCGTCACCATTTGAACCTCATCCACCGAGTTGAGACCATGACTTGCAAGCAGTCACCCAGGAGCGCGACATTGGGGCACTTATCCAGGATGATCTGGGCTGCTCAGATCAATTTAGGAAAGCCTTAGTATGCCACGGATATCATTCGGGCGGTTCGAACCATCTGTTTGTCTGCAGTTGCGGCCTCAAGTGGAATACGCAATTACTGCCTGTTAGCTCTGACACAAGCAATAGTTCGTAACTAGTGAAGAGGCTCCAAGAACGTCAAAGGGTCGTTTTACCGTCCTTATCAGCATAAGCTAAGAATCCTAAGATGGTACAGGGATCAGTGGTGGTGGCTACGTGGCGACCTAATAATGTTCTACCGGATTCTGAGGAACCCCAACCCCTTCTGCCGCCACCCAGCCCAATCCAGTTAGAACACTAATTTGGGGGACTACCAGTCCAAGTTGGCCACGTAATGCAACCGGCCAGAATGTCGCTGAAATCGCGTGGGTCAGCCTTAGAAATGTCTCAAAAATTACCTTGTTGCCATCCCCACATAAAATGTGGGGACAATATAACGCGAAAACCATGTACTAACCAGCATTACCCTGCAAAATCAACGAAGGTTCTTTTCCGCATGCCTTTTGTGAACATCATAGTGAGTTCACCAAAACGCTTTACATTTTATCACTATATTCTCTTTTCGCCATTTTGTACTTATGATTATGGCCATCCCAAGGGACTTGCTAAGCATCGCAGTTTTTTATCCGCAATAAACCTTTGTTCGCGTGTGCCAATGTTCCAGTAATTTACATATCATGTATCTACCAAAGTGTAAACTTTGAACTAGCTGAGAATTAGAGAATACCTATGGCACATGAACTATTGAACTGCCGTGTAGAGCATGAATCTTATGCGCAGCTGTATTTGCGCGAGCTGAGAAGCACAACATTTGAACTTGATTACATTTCTCACCCGATCTTATGAACCGGGATTTAATCAGTGGTTCGAAATGTGATCTTGTGGGAAATCCACTCTGTGATCAAGCAAGACAAGTTATGTACGGACATTAGAACCACTATAATACATGAGCGTATCCCAAATTGATACTGTGTGTCAGTTCATAGATGGAACATAATTTTGTCAACCATGAATGGATGGTGGTGGCTTGATATATCTCGGTCTCACTTAAGGCTATTACACCGTTCATTGTGGCGTGTTTGTTGACAAGACCGAACAGACTGCCCCTAGTGTAATTGCAAATAAATGAGATCAATACACAAGGTTTGCAACAAACCTGTTTCCTAAAGGGATTCACTAAGAGTCGTATCTCAGGATACTTGTTTAATAGCTCAGCATAGAATGCAGTCAGCTCGTCAGCTGTTTTCCAAACTCCTTTGATCGGTTCGTATTTGCCTTTAATCTGAAAACGGTGGAAAAGTTCTGAATCGTTGGTATAATAAAATTCCTGCGAAAGTAAAATTTTGGTTAAATAACGAAAATGCACATAAGTTTGCAAAGCAAAACAGTTGATATATCCAGGAGCTATGTCTGTGATATAAACCAGGAGCTACTCTATCCCAGAAATGATGGAAGTTCCCTCTTACAGTTAGAGCAATTTTGCCTTCAAAAGAGGGCCGATTTGTAGAGGCGTCAGAAGAAACTGAGTTCAAGCCATCTCAGAACTAGATTCCGTCAGTCTGCTGTCACAGCCGGATCAGTGACATACAGTCGATTTATATTTCATGATTAATACAGCAAAGCTGGTTGCCTCCGGGTTAGTTGTGATCGTACCCGCCCTGATGAGGGGCGTTGTGCTCCATTGTGGTCAATTTTATTTAGGAGCAATTCCACACTACAAAAGCTGTCAAAATTTCTCATAGCAATATGGCAGCAGGTTAATGAGTCACTGGTTAATTGGAGCCTGAAGGATGCAGCCGTCAGAAATGTGTGCCCACTTGCCCTCACTGTGAAGAGAGTGGACGAGTCAGTGCAAACCTCACAGAAACTGACACTGACATAGCAACTACGGCTGAGGTTACCAAGTGCATCAGTGGGGATTAAAATCTACAGTAACAAAAATACACCCTGTCGCACAACGACGGATGTTATTAGCTAATCGTGTAAAATCCAGCTGTGGCTGTCCAGCTGTTCAATCAAGTTGTACAGATTTGCGTGTGACAAAGTCGAATACGTGAGCGTTACAGCATCCATTACGAGTTGACGTCGGGAAACTTGTACCAGCGTGGGTCATAAACACATTCCGCAAGTGGTCCGGGCCATCGTCCCGACCGCGTAACCCATAAAAGAAGGACTACACCAAATAAAGAGCCAACGTTATCAACTGACCGCCGTCTGTTGACGGATCGCATATGGGCACTTCACACAAGCTCTGTGTGATTTACACGCCACATAACATCCGTCTAACGATAAACCTACAGAAATAGGTCTAAGTGTGCATAAAAGGACGTCGTCGTCGTAACCAGCCGGTCAAAATGTGGCAAATTATTGTAGGTGCACCCGCAAACCGGTCAATTCACTTCATTGCCCTGACCGCTTTTTGATGTACTGCGTAGGTTCGTGAGAATCCTTGTATGTGCAAACGGTTCTCAAAATGACAAGAACTCAGATAAGGTTTTCTCGATGGAAATCGCCATGTTCCGCTGTGCTGAGTGTGCGATTAGAATCGCATCAGGTATGCATTTTGTAAAATAAGTTGTTTGATGGTAAAATCACCCGCAGTTGAAAGTAAAAAAGAGCATTTCTCGGTTACAAGCAAAACTTGCAAGCGGTTACTTTGCGTGTTGAAGAATCTCTGGTCCAAGTAAACACGGGCAAAATGTTCAAAACCAGTGACGGCAGATTATCACTGCACTTTTCAGCATATCTTAAGCATGAACTTTCCTAGCTTCTCCATAATGCATGTGTTGTCTCTTATCTTCCGCCGAAATATCTACTGGTAGTTCGGCCGATAAGTGAAGTATACCATAAATAGCAGATCAGTCGAAATCAACGTTTTTCAAGCAGAGAAACAGCCGTTCTGTTACTGAATTACCAGACCACTTTTCGGTGTTGTCTCCGCCAACAACTAAATATCCAACAGCGAGTAAAGAAACATTGGTTGAACAAACCTCGTCGAACATGGATTCACCAGCTAAGTTGATTCCTAGAAAGAATTTGGTTCGAATTTGGCAAGCCTCCAGACACTCAATTGCAAGATCCACTCCTTGCTCTGGCCGATCCATTGGTATTGAAGATGCCCCATTATCACAGATAATTTGTGGATTAAGCTAAAATGTCCAGAGTATTAGATAGAACAGAGGTAAGGCAAAAGAAATGTTTATCAAAAACTAAAACATGAAATCGAGAACGCCCATTTTGAATACATGATCACAAGTGGCCCTGCACTTCGATTTCGGCAGGGTCTGTAGGTGGTATTCCGAAAGCAGACTCCAATTAAATGTGGCGGAATGCAAAGTATGAGCTTATGTCGTCAGCGTACCTACAAATATCGACTTAGAGGCCAACCATTGCAACATGCTTCCCAGGAAAGCGATTATGGAGTGAGTATAGAGCATAAACTTGGCTGCTCGAAACAGGCAGAAAAAGCAACGAGAAAAGCCAGGCACAACTTTGGCCTCCAACGGAGAGCGTTCGTGGAGTCTGAACCTTTTATCTTTCCGTAAGTATAAAACGCCTAAATGATGCCTCATGTGGAACATGCAATCCAAGCATGGTGTCCCTGGCGCAAACACGATGTTGCTGCGCTTGATGTTGCGCAGAGGTTGCTCATTTCCTCAACCAATCCCCACGGTAAACTCTTGGATTGTACAATGGTGAATACCAGCGTCCTCGAGAATATAACTTCATGATGCACCAAATACCGGCAAACCCCAAACAAAACTTTCGCGATCTGTTGCGACTTAGTCGCAGTACTAAACTGAGATACCACCAGACCAAACTGGTTACCCAATACAGTCGGTTTGATTGTGGGTAGAATATTCCAGCTCTTCGAGTATCCTGGACATGGAACGCTTTTCCACCTCACGCTATTCCTTCCCCAATCTATCACACGTTTCAAAAGACGCCTAGACCGCACACTGCCCCAGTTACACCGAGCAATAAAGTGCGTTCCACTCAGAAGATCAAATATCGCTAACCAAACACGATGCTCATCGGCATTCTCCGTAACGTAGCTGCGGAGGCGATAGCATCGATGTTCACACAAATATAGTGGTGTTTCACATAAATCCGAATTTCCATCCTATTTCGGTCAATTTTACCTTTGGTTTCATAACAATATTCTACGGAATTTTTCAAATACTCAATTTTACGCCTGTGCTAAATCACTGTTCGATGTTCAATGAACTAACCACCGGTTAATTTTCATCGTCTAGTCCAATGCAAACTAATTGCTTTTTGCACTTTATACTGTTCATCCATTGATAGTGAAGTTAGTTGTAAAGTGACATTAGATCCATGTTTTGCATTCATTCAAATGAACTATCGCCAATTCCTTCCGTATGCACGTGACTAGAAATGTAGGAAGCTGCAACCCAACCCATTTTCTTAGCAAGCGCAAAACGCCACCCGCCACATTGGAAGCTTCTGTAAACGTCACTGCAAGGTCGCAGAGTGGTAAGCAAGAGATTTTCGAGTTTTGGATCACCCACGGCGAGTCTTGGATTGCGACACGCAATCGAAATCTTAGCTTCGCTTGAACTTGAAGTCAGCCTCTGCCAATACGGTCACTGGGACCGTCACCGAAATGGAGGGTTTCGGTGTGGCTCTCTCCCATCCCTGCACTTCACGACCGACGGTTTCATCTTGGTTTGGACTCATCAGGTAGAGATAAGCGAGCTGGGAGTGGAACTCAACACATAGTGCTTGGCGGTTATGTCCAAGATCCCTAAGCTATTGAGCTCCGCGAGCAGTGCTTGACACAGCGGTAAAAGCTAATTTTTCTAACCGCTGTGTCGAGCACTGCTCGCGGAGCTCAATGGCCTAGTGATCATGGTCATAACCGCCAAGCACTATGTGCCGAGTTCCACTCCCAGCTCGTCTATCTCTACCTGATGAGTCTAAACCAAGACGAAACCGTCGGTCGTGAAGTGCAGGGATGGGAGAGAGCCACACTGGTTACCAAGAGCATTGTGCACAATGTAGAAAGCGCAAATGAAATCGATCGCGGATTTTCAACTCAAAATTCACTTCAAGACAAATAACCTCCACATTTAACTGCATGCGATTTCACAGTTGTTGTACATTCATTTAATCTATGTTGACAGTCTTTTCAATCGAAGCAAAATTTAAGCACGGCTGCCTTTGTTGCCATCAACAAATGCTCATGTTTATCGAAATCAGAAGCAACAGACTTTGGTCAATGCAATCAGTCGTAGGTTCCGCTGCTAACTTCATGTCATGAGGTTTAAAGTGGCATGTCTCGTTTATTAAGCATTAAAAGCCGAAGCAAATTTTCGGTGATCGGAAGAAAATTGCTTATTTAGTTATTCCAAGGAACCGGTACTTAAAGAATCGAGTTTAAGCGACGCACTCCTTATCTGTTTTAGGTTCGTGCATGCATACGAATGAAGATAAGGTTTACTGATGCTATTACATGTAAACTGATTTTATATCGACACTCGTGTTAGCTACCCCAACCCATATTATTATCAGACAGCACACATTATACTGTGTACCTTCAGTATTCCAAGGAAATTACATTGCATATTATGTTCCTGATCATGTCGTGTCATTTAGTTAGACTTGAAGCAGATTACCACCTATTGTACCTTTGGATCTGCATATTCCTTCTTTTCAAGTGTTCTTTGGTACATATATTGCAGGTCTTATAAGTGGTATTTTTATTCTCATAGATAACCTATCCAAGACAACATCATGCGTTCAACACGCAGTTACCAAATTCAGTTGGTTTGGGTACCGTGATCCTCTTCGGGATGCACGGTAACAGGTAGTCCTGTGGTTTTCCCCACTCACCCCATTTGGTGTAAAAACTCGTCACTTTAAATCTCGAACGAAACCGTAATCTGAATTAGAGAGTTACAATGTTGCTCTCTCCCATCAGTGCAACACTGAAACTCCGCTGTAAACACTGTCATCTTGATCGAAATGACCGATCTTTACATATAAGTAAACCGTGGCCCTAACTGAGGTTGCGTGTCGCGATACCGGCACACATCGTGTACTAGAAAGTCCAGCGAAGAAGTCAGATTCCCCTTCCGAATTTATGTATATGCAGCTGGAAATGGATCCAGTCTGGACTTAATCAGACAACCAATACTTGTCCGGACAGGTCTTGGACGGCCGTTCCACTGTTTCTGGAATCGTCAGCAGTGCATACTTCACGGCTGTTCTGTGCTTTTCAGGGCGAGTGATGGCTATCTGACGGAGCCTAGATGTGATGAACTTCTACCCAGATCGTGCAATTCCTCCTACTACTCTCTGGTAATTGGGTTCCATAATCAACTATCTTCATCGCTAGTTCTGCTAGTTAAGCAGAAATATTGAAGCAGACAATTGACTGCTGGTAATTCCACAGCCAGTTAAACAGCTACAACTCAACCGACGTATGGTGTCGTTTTAACTAGGAAATGTTTTACGACAAGTCAGAATATCTTTCACTAAAAGAAATGCATTTTATAATTATCCAAATTTGCATAAAGGAAATACTGTCCCAAGTGCTTGAGTAAAGATTTTTAATGTTTTGTGTTTTCTCAATAGGCAGTGATTGATTTAAAACTCTATTTCAACCTATCCAGGAAACCGAAGCGTTAGAACTGCGCGTTATCTCCTTCACTAACGTGAGATCACAATAATCAGTTATGAGAATGTTAATGAAGACCAAGAATTTTAGGTTGAAAAGATTCATTGCCGGAATTCTCATATGTGCTTTTCAGTATATGTCATATATTCAGATCCACCCACTCTGAGGGATAGAGTAGCGGTTAGTAACTGATGTGGAGATTCAAAATCATCTTGAAAAGTCCCATTTAGAGTTAAAAAGAACACGAGACCGTAGGTGCACAATTGTTTTCGATGATTCTCTTCAGACAATTACAATCATATTTAAGGGTCAAATAAGGAACTGAAATCGACTCATTGGCACGAATTACATAGTTAATTAACGGTGAATAGAGAGAGGCTAAAAGTTGACCTTTGACCTGACAGGTCAATTGCATGGTACCGAGCTTGATCTGTGGCAGTCGACCTCAGCATTGTTCGTTCTAGCTGGCCAGGGAAGCAGTAAGGCATGGAGCAATTTCCTTTGTGAGCATAAAGAAGGTAGAAACTAGCGGATGTAAATCGATTCAGCTGTCGCGAGCGCAAGGAGGCGCAAACCTCTTGAGTGATGCTGGGGGACCCTGTAAATTATCCTTAAGGCACGCTTTAGATCAACTTGGTGCCCCGTGTCGATAATATGGGCCAAAACGGCGTTGCTCGGTACCATGCAATCGACCTGTCAGATCAAAGCGCAACTTTTAGCCTCCCTCACTGGACCGTTAATTAAGTATGTAATTTGTGCCAATGAGTCGATTTCATTTCCTTATTTTGCCCTTAGATTCAAAATCGTGAAATTCACGTAGAACCGAGAATCGAGAAGTTATGAGTTCAGAGAGATCTAAGAACAACCCATTGTTACTAGATCTCTCGGAACTTGGCTTGAGTACCCATTTGAACAAATGTTTCTTGTATTGTGCACTAGTCCGAAGCAAGTGTTAAGTTTGGAGGCTGTAGTTCTCATCAAGATAGCTGGCAGATCTTGCTCCACAGGTATTTAAGCATTCACCGTACATAGCTGCGGCTGTCGTCCAACCCACACAGTTTGGACCAAATGCGGGTCCATGGTAAACCTTCATTCCCCTTCACTATCACCAGTGGCGTGAGGCAGGTCTGGCCTTCCTAACCAAATTCGATATGGATGCCAACCTGCAGAGCGCACTGGGCATCTGTAGGCCCAGCAGTGTTTAGATGCGTCCGGGGGATTCATTTTATGATTCGGTGTATGGTACCAACATCACCGAAACTTGCAGTTTACATAGGCTGCGCAAAACAAGCTGTGTAATTTGAATGTGTTTACATCCAAGATCTGGATGTCTTTCGTCCACCTAAGTGTAAGGCCTTCCACCTGGAATGACCGGGAGTTACTCCTACAATATATCGACACTTGTGGATAATCTTTTGGAAATGGTCACTAAATGATTTTACCTGGGTAGCTGCCTTAGCTCTGAAGGTTTAAAAGACGACACCTATACACTGCTCTAAGATTGGG